AGAGGGGTGTCGAACCCGAAGCGACCGACGGATCCGTCTTCAGTTTTCTGGGCACCTTCATCGGTTTCTGAACAAGTGCTTGGATCGCTGCCCGTTTCCTCAGCACGTCTGCGTCCGAGAGAGCTCTGTGAGCTTGAGCTCGCTCGCACAACCCAAACCCGAGCTGGGTTGTGGTCGACTCAAAGAACATCTTCTCGATCGCTCTAGCCACACCCCAAAACTGATCAAGCATCGCTGGTTCAGCCAACAGAGCTTCAGCGACCGAGCCGTCCATTGCCGAAGCCCATTCTGAGATTTTCTGGACAAACTCAGCCCCAGATTGAACTTCTATGGATGCAACCAGTGCCAAATTCGCGAGCGGCGACTTCACGAGCGCATCCGAAAAGCGAGCTGAGAAAATGGGAAGAGCGAGGACTTTCGAGACCCATCTATCAGTTGTTTGAGCCATCTAAATTGAACAAACAGACTCGAAATCTTCCATCACTCGAGCGATCTCTATATATTATCACTCCCCCCCCCCAACCGGCATGAACCGAGCCCAGACTCAGAAGCTAGGTGCCTCTGAACCCACCAGCGCTCGAGCTCACGCGCGGGTCTTGGGAGCCGTGACCAATAGTTCACCCCGTCCAAACCTCAAGTTGCCGCCATCGATCGACACGAGTGGTTTGCACCAGGATGTGAACAGAAGGCCACAGAGTGAACACGTGTTGAACAACCCCTTTAAGTTGGACTACGAAGAGTGCAACGACCGACTCAAACATACAGCAAACACGAGCGTGAACATGCTGACACGTTTCGGTCAATCGAACTCAAAAAGGGAAATGACTCAACACTGTTACCACTCTAGAGCGCTGGTTAGAGCCAGGTGGGGCCCATGCATCGAGCTTGAACCGCTAGAGCAGGGCCCGTTGCAGACTCAGACACAGCACTCCGAGCTCCCGCGACTGAACAGGTTTGGCATGAGCCTGGGCCACAACACGATGCGCATGTTCGTGAGTTAGGGGCCCTTGATCAAGTCAACCCTCAACTCATGCACACGCGATCGAACGACTCTGCTCAGAGCGGAAAAGAAAAATGAGTCAAGGCAATTGATCCCAAAACCCTGACCAACCAAGGGCTCATTTCTTCCGACCTCTCGTGGCGCCGATCGACCGTCTCTGTGCCAAATCGAACGACGCAAGCGCCCTCCTGGGCAATTAGATCATAAAAAGCAAACGTGATCACGGGAATCAAACATCTGTGATCACTTCCTCGGCGGCCGGTCCAAAGGACGTAGGCACTCCTGGCTCAGCCGTGGCTGGAGTGATCGTCACAGTGGATGGGCGCTGAACACGAGGAGCGCTTTGACTCGGTAGCGCGCTCATCACGGCACGAGTCTGCTCAACAAAGAACTGTGGTGTCACAGCTGCATCAGCGAGCTGCTCACCCCTCCTCTGCTCGAGCGAGCGCCTTGGCGCAAAGAGCAGCTGTGCGTTCGGATCCATCGAGCTAGCTGCCTGGCCCGGAGAAGTCAGCGACATGCCGCCCTTCATGGCGGAGCCCACGATCACTGCCGAAGAATCCCTCGGCCCAGCGAGATCTCGCACCGGCTCCCACTTGGACTGCGCGACCGCGACCCCAGGAGTTCCGGCAGCTGGGGGCAGGATCATTGCCGCCCTCTCGGTGGCCGGGTCATGGTATTGGAGGGCGATCGCCTCCCTCGCCACAATCTTCTTCTCGGCCTTGAACAGGGGGGACTCGCACGTCAGGTGTAGATTGTCGGCATGAGAGCTCACATCTACAGCACCGATCCTCGGCCCGGTGTCCTCGATCGAGTCAGCTGTTACCCCAGCCGTCCAGTGTGCATGGATCCCCGCAATCTGGGACAATTGCAGGTCCTTCAACTCGTGCATAGTGATCTCGACACCACCGGGCGTTCTTCACGAGCGTAGGCCCCGACACTCGGGACACCACCAGCCAAGTCGCTGGGACAGCGAGCGTGCCACATGCCACATTGAGTCTGTCCTGAGCTGAGGTGAACCTGAAGACCGCCGTCAGCCGAATTTCAAAGTGGCAAAGAGGAAAGTCTAAGGCAAGAACTGCCCCCCCCTCGCCACAAGCATACAGCTGACCACCGACCTCGAACGAGACGGCGCAAACTCTCCACCCTTGGAAGATCACCACCGTGCACGAGGGAATGAACAACACCTCTTCGAGCGCCATGACGATCGCGTCGTTGATGTAGTTCAATTGTACCGTCATATCCTGATCGGACCGGTACCCCCGCAGCTCGAGGTGAAGGAGGAGCGCACCTTCGATCTTCACTTTCAGGTCGACCCAGGTCGCTGAATCGTCCCTCATGATGGGCCACCGGAAAGGCTGAAAAGCCTGGTGAGCCAAAACCTCCCCAGTCTGGGAGTCCCACCTGCCACATGGCACGGATCCGTAAGATATCATGGATCCCACGATGATCAACTTCTTGCCTTCCAGGGTCCTCATGTAGAACAGGTTCATGTGGTAGCCCGTGCTTGGACTGCGCACTTGACGAGCGTCCGAGAGCACGTTGACTCCTGCCTGTGCATTGATCAATATCTCGTCTAGGAGCCAACCCTGGAAGGGACTAGAGATCCTTTGGTCCCTTGTGTCAACCACCAGCACCGACCTCTCGCCACCGCCCGATCCGACTTGGCTGAGGTAGGGAGGGAGCACATTGCTGAGCGCGTTGTGGAGCCCACCCAGCTGGCCAAATCGAAGACCATGAGCTCCTTTCCTGGCGGCCCGAGCGGCTTGCTTCTGCAGCTTCCTGGATCCATATTGAGGGTTGGTTCCAGCAAGCAAGTTCTGAGCAGCTTGTGTTGCCGGAGCTGCCTTCGACACCGGCGGTTGGGGAGCCACGGCTGGCGCAGCTGTCTGCTGATCTGCCATCGTTCCTGAGTTTGAGGCTGGTGCAGACTTTGGGACAGGATCCTGTCCTTGTCGCGGTGTGGCTGGCTGAGCTTGAGCCACTGTTGGAATGCTCCGATTCTGACCCGGATCCGGCTGACCAACTTTCACCTTGTTGTCAAGATCTACGACATGGGGCAGCTCTAGATCAGGTGGAGGCAACTCCAGGTCATCTATCTCAACATGATCAGCCACACGAGTCCAACTAGAAAAGCTCACATTGCTGACTGAGTCCTCTGGCCGAACGACACGGTTCACCGCGATCGCTTGCTGGCGCAAAAAGGGAGCCATATGCATGTCCGACATGGCTGCGGTAGGAGCTAGCCTAGTTAAACCTTAGTGATCACCCAGGCCCTAGTCAACAGCACCCACCAAGGGCTCACGCGCCCTCAAAAACAGCCAGGGTGATCACCACTCTAGCCAAAATGGCATACGTGTGGTGTATCATGATCATTAGTTACCAAGACACAGCTGAACAGCAGTCCAAGAGTAACTCACCTATACCAGACCTACCTTACCGTCAATAGGTAACCGGCACTTGTTTCTAATAGCTTCTTGTTACTACTAGTAAGGCACTTGTTACTAGAAGCGATGCACTTGTTACTAGTAGCTTCTTGTTTCTAGTAGCTTCTTTGCTCCAGATATCAGTCTATCAGCAATCAATATGTATCTATAATCGACACTGAATCGACACTCACCCCTATTTTCTATAGGAATGCCAGAAAAAACATACCTAATGTAACATGTACAAGGGATTACCCCTCACCCACTCTCTGTGGCTAGAGTCGAGTCGTTAAGCAGTCTAAGTAGACCCCTTCTAAAGCTGACAAATATGGTTCGACTTACCTTTATCAGATTTTATCAGCCAGATGCATCTGCATCTATCAAATCTAAGTTCAATCCGTCATATTCTTGCCCGAGTCGCAATCGTGACCTTCAGCCGCCAGCATGGACCAGCTTCAGGAGGAGCAGGAAAGGACTTCGCATTCGCCATAGGGGTTTACTGAGTAACAAGAAGCTACTAGGAACAAGAAGCTAGTAGTAACAATACACCAAAGTCACCGGGGTTTATATGGACGAGAGATTCGGGCTCGACTATGGCTGATGAGCAGATCGAGGCTCTGTGCAACTTGCTTCACAAGGCTGCTTGACCTTGTGGCATTGTGGGGATGACACCTGTTCTTGTACCTTTTGTATCGCATACTCTTCGTACCCGGAACAAGACTGCGCCAACTGTGCGCTTGAGCCAACCAAAAGTGCAGAGTGACCAGTGAGTTGGTGAGTTGCAAACATTTGAAAGAAGACCTGCCATTGAGTGGCACCATCCCTCCATTGAAAGTGTCATGGAGTTGGCCTCGGGGTTCAGCCTCGCTCTTCAGAGAGAGGTACCTGACGGTCAAATATCGTGCATGGTCGTGGTGCATCTGAGGAACACTACCGACAATTGTGACAGGCGAGTCCATCAATCCATTGATGGTTGCTGTGGAATTATTATGTGGAATAAGATTTACAATATTTTACAAGACAAAAAAAGAACTGTGAGAACAGATGCTACTCACGTTCACAAGGTGTTTGGCCTTTTGAGAAGACTAGCATTCGAAATTGACCAATCTCTCACCACTCGCGATGGATATTGGTGCTTGCCAAACAGGAGGACTCGCAACACGCCCGGGCGACACTGCCGGCGACAGCCGGCGACAGCCATGAAACAGTCTCTGATGTCCATTTGCAAAGCCTCTGATGGTCAGGTGAAGATGTTGTTTTGTGCTCTTTGTGTCCATCCGCATCCACACGCAAAAGCATGGAAAGCCTGTGCAGCCACAGGCGAGTTCAAAGGTCACACCCTTTCTCACACTCTTGTGAGCGTCCCATTTGCATGAAGGTTGGTTGCAGGGCTGGTTCTTTCCTGGGTTCCTAGTCAAGTGCTCATTCAGAATAACAACCACATCATAAGTTTGGAGGGCTCATCATACAATAGAACAAAAATGTTCAGAAGGTCACTCTGTAAATGCTTGCCCTTCATGCTAAACCCACTGCAGTGTCAGCGGCCCTTCATTCCGCCTCCACCGGTGAAACTTTCACTGCTTGCTTTGCTTTTCAAGCGCAGTGGCCACAGCAAACTCGAAGCCAGCATCAGAAATATTCACCTTCAGCTCATCGCGTGCACCCTCAAATGGGTGTCTTGATGCTTGAAAGGGATTGACCATCAGACCAGCTGTATTTCTTCCCCTCCACAGATAAACACTGCGGAGAAGAATAATGAAGAAAGTCTGTTCCAACCGATTCTACGCCTTTGCATGAGTGGCTGCTTTATTATTTTCAGTACGAGTTTATATATATATATATAGAGAGATTCTTTCCTTCTGGTGATGACATAGCTTCGACAGCATTGACCAGGGTCCCCCGCCTTGCCATTGCTACCATCTGCAGGTACTCCACGCGACCATAGGACAGGAGACACAGCCACACCTTTGCAGAGAACTGCATGAGCTAACTTGGGTGATGCAAAATCCTTGGCAGTAGATACATTATACAAGTGGTCCTGAAACGCAGAATGGATCGCACAATTCCATCATGACTCAGCAGAGCCCCTCGAATCAGTTCTGTGCCCAAGTGTACGTAAGAAGAACTATATAAGCTGACACGGAGTGTGGCAGGCACATATATGCACAAACCATTACAAACCCCAAAAGACGAAATCACCACTGGGGCGCCTGTACCACCACTAAGAGCTTCATCACTGCTGGTGATAAAGGCAGGGCCACGAAGATCTGTAATTTGCCCATCCACCTCTCAGCTTCCCTCCCGGTCCAACTGAGTCTGATGCTTCTTCGTTAATTTTAAGGGAATAACTCTGGCGCTCTCCAGATTCAGGGGTCTACCCGATATCTTAAGCAGCCACACAGCGACAAGCAGCAAAAGAGTAAACAAACACTTGAAATGTTCCGAAAGCGATCTGACTGTCACATGTGCCACTCATTGCATATTCCTACACAGCATGAAAATGGATAGTGGAGCTCTGTGCCTCAAAAGACAATTGAAATAAATTTTAGACAATTATATATACACTATATATATATATACTGTATATATTAACTACTGGTACATCACTCCCAATCCCAAAGTGCCTTCGACAGGGCAGTGTATCTTTGCACGATGAACCTGGGGCGCATACAGCATGCGCAACGATACCGCATAATTAGGTGTGTATTTGTGTTTGATCTGTCTCAAAGCAGGTATATACCGTTATATATCCTGCAGTTGCATGTCTTTCTCCTTCCAACATTGGCTGTGGCCTCGCCGTGACAGAAATGCCCATCACAGAATCCCAATGGGAGCTCACCAATCATGTCTATAACCGTCATTGCACCTTGCAATGAAAAACATGGAAAAACCTTCACCACAGTGACTACCATTCCGCCAAAGAACGCTTCCGGCTCGGCCGCCACCAGCGGGCGCGCTGCCAGGAAGTCATTCCTTGGGAGCTTGGCGCCCACCCAAACGGCATTGCCTCAGGAGATGAGGCGGTGAAATTGACATATTTGGAACAGGGATGGGGTGATGGATGGTAGAACAAAACAGAAGCCTACTGTGAAGTCACAACAGTGGTAAACGTGCCCAAGACTTGGCACAAAAGGCTGAGCGACACCAAGCTGCAGTGCACATCCCAGAAACTTAGAACCACCACAGCGTTTCTCTTACACATCCTGTAGCCTCAGAGTCAATGTCGTCATCTACATGCATAGCTTTGTACACGTGTACATAATGTTACTGTATATTATGCTCAAGAACACCGCCCTTTTACCAATTAATTCCGTTAAGTTATGCCCCATTTACGCACGACCCTCATGTAACATCATATGTTGATTGTAAATGGAAATTGCAGCAGGTGTGTTGCGTTAAACTTGCATGGGTGTCATTTCGTGGGAGAAGGCTTGCTCTGAAAAGAGGTTTGGGAAGTGCCTGAAGCACAGAGAATGCACCTGGAAGGATGAGAAAATAGCTTCAGGGGAAGTGTCCATAGCCGGGTAGCTTGGCATTCAAACGGTAGAAAGAGGATGCTTTTGGATGTGCGGGGGTTCCCCAAGAACAACATCATGAGGTATCCAAAACTGATGTGAAATCAAAACTCAATGATCCTTCTTTGCCTAGGTCTTCAGCGCAAAATCCCACAGGAATCTGAAGAATCATGAATCGGCACAACAATCAGCTCGTCTTGTGTCCCAAAAAGGAAACATCGGTTGGAGGCCATCACTCTTAGGTTGGAAGCCATCTCTCCTCGAATCTCTCAGCCTCCACGTCCATCAACTCGCTTCACCACGACATTGGGTTGGTTGCCTGAGGCGTTTGCGCCCTGATGATCCAGGAGTCAGTTGTCAGCTTTCCACAGGACATGACATGCGGTTATTCTGCAGCTTTACTACACAGCTTTATGTGACCTTTGCAGGAAAGGACCCCATCCCACAAAAAAAGTGTTGGTGGCATTCAGCCTTCAATATCTCTTCAAGCAGTTCCCTGCCACAAAGTGTGTATGTTGTGCTGAGCTGGTATGCGGCGCTGAACAAGGACATCTTTGATTGCATTCGCGTCGCTGGGAATGTCGAAGACAGTGTGTAGCAACCTTAGCAAATGGGTAAACCATGGTAAACCATGTAAACTCTGGGTCAATCTTGTCTGGTGAACACCTTGAAAACATGAACCAAATGCTTTTCTCCATATCTTTTCAGTGGATCTTCACCGACAACAACGAGTTTTGGGCGGATCCGCCGAGCCACTGCGGATCCGCCGCGAAGGAGCGTGTGGGGATGGTCTTCAAGATTGGTGCCTGGGCAGGGTGAGGCACCATGTCAATGTGCGGCCAGGTGGCCAACACAGGTGGTCAACGTCGTGTCTGGTTCTTTCATGTTCAATGGATATGTACTGTATCATTGTGTGATTTTGAAACAAGGGCCATCATTGTTCTTTCATGTCATGGGGCCATCATTGGGTGATGTTGACGGTCCAAATGGTACAGCAATGGATACGGTCCATGGTTTACCGTTCAGGAACTTTCTCCTGACAACGGCATCTTGATCCCTGCCTCTCCAAGATAGTGTTGAATCAGCTTGTCCATATAGGCACAAAGCTCCTGGCCAGAAGCCGAACAGCTGTGTAGCCAATTCTGGATACTGGTCGCTCAAATATGCATTTGAGCCCATACACGCAATGCATGATATGTTTACTAGTAAAACATGCATATCCAACATCACAACTATGAATGGCAACTTCTAAGTGACTCTAGAAAGGATTGAACGTCGCAAAATCTGAGTCAGCACTTCTTAAACACAGTTTACACATTCAACAAGGTGTAGTCCACTAAGGAGCACGAACAAAATTTGCAGACAGCGGCCTTGTCCTCCACAAGAATTAGCCCAGGGCCGTTGGCCACCTGCAGCAGCGGGATAGCTGCCAGTAGTTTTTTGTTACTAGTAGCGATGCACTTGCTACTAGTAGCGATGCACATCTATCACAACCAATTGCACACAAACTCCGCACCGCAAGCGCCCTTCCACATGCTCTAGGCCAGGTGAGGTTTGTGAGAGAATGAGGTGAAAAGTTTGAGAACATGATAAATGGACATGAACTTCATGAACTATTGATGGACAGCCAAACCTCCAACCGTGAACCTCATCTATCATCCATTGAACGTGCCATAAAAGCATGCTCACTCATTTCAGCAACGCCTTCACCTTGCCTTTGTAGTATGCTTCCAAAAGGCCAGGGACCTTGGACTTTGACTGCAGGAATTGTGGAGAGTCGGTTGGGTTGCTACTCTTCCACACGTGTTCGTCAGTTTGCGTGGCGAGATTTCAAGCAGCTGCCCCAAGGATGCAAGATTGCCTTCATTGCTGGCGCACTCTTTTTCATACAAAGCTGCTCCTGCCCCTGCCATCAATCATTTCTTTGCGTCCAATCAAACACTGTACTTTACCCATCATGCTGTATCAAGCAGGACAGCTAGTGCATAGTCGCAATGTTAACCTCACTTCATCTGAGTTTCCGGAATCAATTCCCACATGCCTTATAACAAGAACAGTACTGAGTGCTTAAATATCTGTCGCCGCTTGGCCTAATCCGCCGGCCTGCCGGCGTGTCTTGTGGATCTTATACTAAAGTATAAAGCTGTTCATCGTTTAGATTGCTCCTCTGCGCGGATTTTTGCCTCCCCCCCCCCACGTTGTTGTCTTCATGGTCGCCTTCGTCGCCCTCGTCGTTTTGCATGCACGTCGCCTGTGTTTTGCATGCACTTCACAGCGCTTTGCCATAGTGTTGATTTTGCCCGCGGTTTGCACCAACCACTACGTGGACCCAACATCGGCTTACACCACCCTGTACACCAAACCAAGGTTTACACCAACCACCGTTCACACCAACCACCGTTTACAGATTACACCAAACCACGGTTTACACCAACCACCGCTACACCAATCCACCGTTTACACCAACCACTCTTTACACCAACCACCCCTTGCACCAAGCCAAGGTTTACACCAACCACAGTTTACACCACACCACCGTTTACGCCAGCCACCGTTTACACCAAACCACGGTTTACACCAACCACCGTTTACACCAAAACACGGTTTACACCCACCACCGTTCTCTAGAAGTCTTCTTGTAAAGCCTAAGGCCTCACAAAACAAATCTAAGTGGGCAACCCGTTGCATCCCCTGGCCGTTTCTCTGCGATGCGTCTCCCACCCTTGAGGCAAGCTCCCTTGCTTTGGCTTTGCTGGCTACATGTTGCTCATTTGCTTTTCCCTTCTCCACCGGCTGGAGTCAATTTATGGCTTGCTCTAGGGCCAGCCCTTGCCCTTGCTTTGCTTTGTGTCTTCCCCTGCCTTCTATCTCGCTCCCCTTCTCATTTTTTGGCTCACAACGCGTTGCTCCTCTGCACACATGCTGCAGCATTCAGCCGTGGAGGCCGGCGGCACACGCCAGCGGTGGTTAAATATCTCATCGACTAAGCCCCAAACGCCTTGTTTGCCTTCCATCAGGCGCTGCCAGCCCTCTTTGTCGTCCGCTCGCAGCATGCGAAAGAGCTGGTTTTCTGGGCGCATTTAGTGCGGCTGCGATGGTCTTGAAATGCAATTGAGCAACTAACACATGCGGTACACATCTATCTTCGCATATTCAACCACCGAATGTTGCATTGGTGGTGTGAAGAGCAAACAAAGTTACTATGGTATTTGTAAATTGTCCTGGTAAAGCTGTATGGTCCAGTTCTGTTTCTAATATTTCACACATGTTCACAAAATGTTCAACGTCCATTTATAACTTAAGTTGCATCGTCAAGGGGTATCGGTGCTGGGTGGTCCCATATGGGTTCTTAACATCTTGCACTGCACGCCCCATCACGCAATTCAACGACTATTGATTCATAATGAATGATTCATATTATTGGTTCCCACGTGCTCATTTGCCTTGAATATCCTTGAAGAATCATTGTGAAAACAATTCCAAAAGCCCCTCTGCATTCGCTGGTCATAGGTCCACTGAACATGACGTGCTCTGACACTGGAGCATCAGGCTCAAGTTGTGCAAAATCACAGGGCGCCTTGGACGTTTTATTTCTGGTACGAGCCAAATTGAGATGCCATACTGAAACGAACAGTGCAAAATGCAAAAAGGATCAAAACGGAAAGAGCGCCGTGGCTCTTTCAACTGACTTGTTGCAAACAAGCATGGATGACGTGTCCCTACATTCATGCTGCATGCACCTCACTGTGGTCACTAAACTTTGCACATCAGCTACCTACTCCACAGCTGCACTGTGTGTGTGTTAAGCCCTCCACCCACCCACATCACACCCGTCTCCTCCAATCTCCAGCAACCCACTCTTCGGCCCGTTCCAGGGCCCGTTCGGCCCGTTCGGCCCAGACACGCGCCGTCTTCCCATCCGCCACCACGCCGCCCAGCTGCTCTACGGCCTCCCGCAGCTCCTTGGCTGCCAGGTGAGCTCGCTGTGCCTCGGAAGGCACGGCGAAAGCATGCGAAAGCGGTGGGGTATCGTGGTGCTGGTGTTTTTCGGGGCCGGTTTTGGGGAGATGGTTGAGGAGACGTGTAAATGGTAAAAAGAAGTCTGTAGTTTGGTTGCCTGACATGCCATTGATGGATCAAAGGTCTTCGGATCAGTGTAGGCACCGTCCAAACAGACCCTTCTGCATCTTACTTCACATCACTCACTACACACCCTCAACAGGATTCTGCATTTGACAGCAAGTTCCTGTGGTGCTTTGTCCACATCCGCCATCTCAGGATGCAACCTCAATGGGCAGGTTGCTGAGTTCCCATTGCTGTTCCAACTTCTTCAAGCCTGGCAACAAATGGCACTGAGGCTGGATCTGCCAGATATCAATCATTGACCTGTTGAAAGATACGACCAGTACCTCAAAGCCACCAAGGCTAACTAGGTGTTGGCATATTCATGAAAAGATCGAGTCATTTCACAATTCCCAGCTTCTGATCTAAAATCTAGAATCTAGAAGGGAGCCAAGTTCGCAAAAGTCGAAACAAATGCAGTGTGCCGTTCCGAGCTCTTCCTGCCCACTCAAACAAGTAATGGGCACCAGGGAAACCAAACGCAAACCCGTCGTGCGGGTCGATGAGAGACCACAGCAGACTGCCAAACCCTGACTGAGGGCCTTCGGCGTCCGGCTTGTAGTGATAAGAATCACCAAAAGTCAACTTGCCAGTGGCCACATTGTAGCGGATCCTTTTGGGTGAGGTCGCAAACAAGAAAAATATAGAACCCCTTGCTACGCCCCAGCCTTCAACATGGCCAAGATTGGGGACAAGAATAAGTTCTCCAGGGTGATGTCACCTTCCTTTAAAAACATTTTAGAAAAGAAACCAACATTCACTCGTCTTCCTTTAAAAAGCATCGGACCTTCACCATGCATTTGTTCACTGCTCCAACCCAAGGAAGGACTGACAATTGGGAACCACATGGGGCACCAAACAAAACTACTGAAATGCGCTCAAATGAACGCAGGCAAGCATCGGTCCATGAACTCGTTCACTCTCTTTGGTCCCTTTCTCTGTCCAGGTCCAGATCAACTTGCCACCCTTCATCTGAAGAGAGCCTGAGATGCGCAGCCTGTCCCTTTTTTCCAAAAGTGACCAGTGCTTCAAGCAAGTGGTGCACAGTCCAAAAGTGTCCAAAACTTCTCGGTAGGGATCTTACACTAATAGACCAATAAACCACCTCACCACCTCAGCCTCCGTTTCTTTTAGTCCAACCAATCCAACCTTGCAAGATTATAGAACCTAATGCCAAGAGTCCAAGAGTGTTGAGGCTTCCTGGCAACAATTTGGGCAAGTAGCTCTTGTTCCCTTCGGTGTCCAAGAAGTCGACTTTGCTCTTGACTGAGACCACGGACTTTTCATTCCTCGCCGCCTTCATTTTCTCTTTGGTCTCCATATCCTGGGAGAGGCGTCAAACAAAGCAGCCAGCACGCTGCCAACTTTCTTTTCCCCGTTCTTGGGGGAGCCTTGTGCATCCAATAGCAAACAACATCTCCAAAAAGGCCAGAAAGTAAAGGCTGATGCTGGTTGTGTCAAATAGAAAGCACAGCATACCTTGCACCATTGGGGTCCAGTCCAAAGTGCAAAAAGGCTGACACAGCGCTGCAAAAGTGCTGACCCTACCCAAATCCTGACGAATTCTTGATGGTTCTTGCTTCGCTCTCACGGGCGATGAGCTCGAGCAACCACGCAGTGCCGGCCTCATAGGCTTCAATGCGGGCGCGTGCCTCGTCGATGGCGGAGCGGAGCTTGGTGCCTGTGAGACAAGGACGTGCACAAGTGGTTATGGCCCTTTCCGCATCTTTTTTGGTATTCTTATAGGGTCGGATCTACTTTCACCTGCTTGGATGGACACACGATTCCATATCGATGTATCTGTTCAATGTACCACAAGCGTGTGTGGAGGGTTGAAACCAAGAGAAACTCCCAAAGTAACAAGGGGAAGTCCAAAGGAAGCTGAAAAGAAAGGTCCCCATTAAATGTCAGAAATTCACTACTATCTGTTCACAGGAGATGCTTCGGTATTTTTTTGGTGATTGCTGGATGAACATTGATGTGAGGATGAGTTTAATTGACAAGTCCCCTCAAAGAACTGGTGAACGCCCTGGTGGATGTGATCTCACTATAGTCTGAAGGTATATTAAAGAGCCCACAGAAATCGGCTGAAGAAACAAAGCACATCGGTCCAGCTTTGCCGTCTAGCTGCTGGCATGGCCCGGCTGTACATCCGTAGGCTCTGAGAGCAACACCACGAGGCCAACTGGCTCTGAGGTCTCAGCTGCCTGATCTGTGGAGACTGTGGGAGACATTGCCTTAAACAAAATCTCACTCAACGGGGCATATCATTTGCAACAGTTGGAAAAATCGAGCCCCTACGGGGTGATGTATCAAAGACTTGAACCCCAATCATGCAATGCCTCAAGAAATAGTGAGGCTTCCCTGCATTGACAAAATTCTACTGTACATCTTTCTTCCTATGTACTTTTGAAAGCAAAATGGTGCTGTGATGACTCACGGAGGACTAGTAGCAAGAAAGGCTATTAGGTGGAGGCCATCGCAAGTAAGTTGGAGGCCATTGCTACTAGTAACAAGAAGCTACTAGGAACAAAGGGCATCGCTACTAAGGAGCAAGGACGCTACTAGTAGCTCCTGGCATCGCTACTAGTAACAAGAAGCTATTGAGTTTGCAGCCGCGGCCATCGTCCACCACCGCCCGCCTTAGCTCCCCGCGCGGGAGAGGCCTGTCGCTTGGGGCTCCGGCTCCGGTCTGGGGTCCGTTGCTCGCCTCGGCCGGGAAACGACGTTTCGACATCGAAAGCCTGGTCGCCTGGAATTGTTCAGGAGCGTTCTTGATTAAATAGTCACAAGAAGCTACTAGTAGCTCCTGGCACTACTACTAGGAACAAGAAGCTACTAGTAACAAGGGCATCACTACTAGTAGCAAGAAGAGCATTACTACTAGTAACCTGGAACCTTGTTATATAAGATTAAATGCTGAGTTATTTTGTAGTACGAGGGGTAATTAGTCACCTTCATTGACTTAGGCAAGCCATATGGGTCAAGTAAGTCCACCCAGAAGCAGTACCCATTAGTCTATTTGTGCCAGTGCAAAGATTCTACAAAACTACAAGCACAATGAACATCATTCAACAACCGTTACAATCTGCAACGCACCCATTTGCAGAGTTTGGGCTTTACAGACCAGCCACTCTTCTTCTCGGTGATGAAGACCTTGCCATGACGAACAACCAGCCTGCAGAGTCCAGGTCAATCAAAGCCCAACAGACCCCTCCTTGCGCAAATCCTTCTCTGTCACTTGTGTGGAACCCGTGTCAGTGGCTTGACCTTTCCACCCCCTCCTCCACCAAGGACCAATGCCTTGGCTGGTCTTCTCTGGGGCCCTTCTCATCTGGCAATTGGACAGGAACCAATCCTGCATCGAAAAGAGCTCGTCGTCTTCTCGAAACAAGTGTAGCAACCGTGCCCAAAGAGGAAAGGAAAGAAGGTCCACCCAACGAAAACATGCTAAAATGAATGAGAAAATATCAGTTCTAATTGCTATAGAACTTACATCGATACCTGATGCCTGTATTGGCTCCGTGATGAATACGGAGGTCTTTTCTGCTATAGTTGCGTTCACACAAGTTTTGGCGAGATCTTGAGCTGCCAAAAGGTCGGAGGCGTGTGTTTGCTTTGGCTCTGAAAAACTAGGCAATGCAAAGTTGCCTTGGTCATTGCAGTGTTCGCTTCGACTGAGAGAGTCTGGTGAGAGGCGAGATTGGCTTTGACCATTTTAGCACTTCAAAAAATACTAGTGGCGCTGTGTGGTGCTTGCGGTGTCACCGTACCTGACCGTCCCTTATCATTTGCTCAAGGTAGCCACAGGATCAAGGCTCCATGCCACATCAACTCCTCCAGCAGTCCTTTCTGTCGGAGCAAGGTGACTAATCTTCGATCTTCATTGTCGTCCCGAACAGAGCGGTGGTAGTAGAGCACCACAACCTGAGAATCCAGCTGCCAAGGCTTTGGGTACGCGGTCATATTTTTTGGAAAGGTGGATTCGAACACTTTTGAAGTGAGCTCCGCAGGCCAAGGCTGGCCAAGGCCTCCAATATGGGCTGGTCAAACTGCTCTTTCATTCAGCAAGTTGTGGAAGGGATTCTTGGTGATGATGCAGACCTTCTGAGTATTTCTTTTGTTATGCGGACTAGCACTTGGAATTGAGCACAACAACACAGGCAAAAAGTTTGAAGGGAATATGATCCAAATATGCATATATATATATATGTTTAATTCATTTATTCATATTATATAGATAATGTATATCTATATTATATAATTATGTATAGATTCTCTATGATTCTCTGCCAAACCTTTCTATCAATCAAACTGATGTAGATCAAGCATGATCCAACCGATAAGTCCTGGGACTCTCTTAAGCCCACGGCTCCAACGTTACACCTATCGCTCCAGGAGCCCGACCCCGACGGTCCCGACGACGCTCGGGCGGCCGCGAACGAGCCTTCTCGCCCTCAGCCACCTGGCTCTTGTAGTGCGCCGCCATCTCCTCATAGAGCCTCGCAAGGTGGAGCACGGGAAGCCGAGGGAGCCGAAGGGGTGGATCTCTCAGAAAGGAAAAGGAATAGCAAACCCACCTGGGCCACCCTGAGTCAAACCAAGCTCACCAAAATAGGAGCAATCGGCCCCTAGTAGACCAGGTAATTCTGGAGATCACTCAATACTGGATGGAGCCTGACTGAACTCCCTGTTCTTTTGTCCTCGCCTTCTTAGATAAAATATCGTTCAAAAAAAGTACAAGATCTGGCCATGACGAAAGGAGGTCACTGCTCAAGCTGTCGATCCTCGACTGCGAAGCAACTGCTTAGCGAAGCTATGTGCCGCTGAGCTGTTCGTGCCGTCGACGGATGCCGCGCTCCTAGGACCCAACAAGATGTCGAAGAAACAAACAAACATTGCCCACTTTCATGAGACGTCAAAGCTGGAAGTATGAGAAGTCCAGGAATCTTGCCAACAGATCCTATGGAAATCCAGCGAAAGCAAGATTGTACAAAATCTCGGAATCTCTCTTTCAATTGTGCACGGATCCCAGTCTCCTGAATTCCATCCAAGGGCGGTTGACGTCGAGGCTTCTCTGGGCGCAATCCTTTCAAATGCAGCCAAACCTTCAGAGCATCAGGGAATCGCTTCAAAGAAGCCTCAGCTGCGATGACTCGGCTTTGACCTGGTAGCTGGATTGTCATCTTCTTCATGACTTTGGGTTGGATTGACGGATTGCGTAGAGCGCTCTCTGCGAACCTCGTTGCGCTTGATCTAACCCTTTCCCACTCTGTAGGCTTCACAAGCTTGCGCAAGCTGGGCATGCTGGATTGTAGGGCCGAGGCAAGATCAGCTGGTTCATCACAACGTAAGAATCTCAAGTGTGCCTCTTGCACATCCTGAAGTTCAGTGTTCACATCCACAAGCAAGGTCATTTCCTGCAGTTCAGGACAAGTATGACTGTTAGAGTTGGAATATTCAGTGCTGCCAGAGATTGTCGAAGGGTCTCCACACTGAAAGGGCCTCTTCTGGTCGCCTTGCCCCTTCAGCTCCAAAGGCACTGTGCCTTCCGCTTGAGGAAAAGGCCGGGACTCCGGATCCTCTTTAAAGGCGATGAGGTGATACGGGTCCTTGGCACCAAAGAGCCGCACAGGTACGTGGTAGATATCAGCAGCAACGCCAATCCCTGCAGATCCCCGGAAGGCCACTCGGGAGCAGAAAGGAGGCGCAACATCTGCACTTTCTGGCATACCAAACGCCTGCGTGGATGACTCGATGAATTCAGCAAAGCGGTCTTGTTCCTCATCAGCCAGGAGATGTTTAAAACTCCTGCCTTTGAGGTTCACGTCAGTTAAAATCAAATGCTTCAGGCACTCACTTTCCTGTGCCACATTCATGTGACTGTCCAAAAGAACTTCTCCGTCACACGCACCTTTCAAAACCCTTCGGAAGCTGGACACCAAGGACTCGGCATCAGTTGTGTCCAACTGCGCATAAATGCGCGATCTCAGTGCAATGTTGATGAACACCGAGGAGGCCACAATAATCAACAAAACAAAGAGATGGCTGACGCAAAAAACTCCAAAATCCGTGGCAAATCCTTCGCAGGTATAGACTTGGATAAGCATTCCTGCTCCTGTGTATAGTATTTGGAAAGGAATGCATACCCATGGGTCCAAATAGTACAAAACAAGCAAGAAGCGAACAGCAGTCAAGAAAGCTTGCAACAAACCAAATTTGAATGCGCTGCCAGCAGCTGGTACCATAATCAAGGAAAGCCCCATGATATGCATTAGCCAGGTCGAGTGCTTTAGCAGCTCAGGAGTGACGGCAATCCAATCTTTGCTGACCAGCAAGTGCTGCATATAACAAACAGCGCTCACGATGAGGAAGGTGGCGTTGTCAAGCCCAGGTGCTGCAGCCGTGGCATAGAAGAAGTAGCAGCACAGAACAAAGGCAACGTGGAGCAAGTAGCGGCTAAAGAAGCGGAAGTTCCTCTGCCGAAGTTTGATCATCTCTTTCTCGACATGGGTTTTCTTGATATCATCCTGATCAGGGTTATTATGTGAGGGGTTATCGTTTAAGGTCACGCACACTAGAGGACTAGGATTCGGATTGCCTACCGGGGACGAGGGGAAACAAAAGTGCCTGGGGGGGTACGAGCGAGGTGTTCGCTTGGAACGTGCCTTGCAAGCGCGCTACCACGCAGTTCCAAACAACCTGCCAAACCAACCTGCCTTAGGCAAGCTGTCTGGCGCCGCGTTTGAGCGGCGGCATTACGCAGCCGGAGGGTTGCAGCAAAAGAGAATCTGAATTTCTGAACGAAAAAGCCGTCTTACAGCTGACGTTGGGTCCCCGGAATTCAGGTAGAGGCTAAGCAGCCCAAAAGCATTAAAAATGCAAAAACGATTTTAAAAAAAAACTACTACCTTGAAATACACGTATTTTGTATGGTTCTACGTTTTAACTGGCCCTGGTTCCCAAACGACATACTCAGATGAAGGTTTTTTGTATTTTCTGTAGTTTTGCACTTGTCTGTATTTTTTGTACTTTGTATTTTTTGTGTTTTCTTGTTTTTGCGGGCCGTATGTGTTTGTATTTTTCTGTTATTTTCGAAAAAACAAACGAGAAACAGGTCGTAATTCGTTCGCGCCTTAAAATGTTCAGCCTCGAACTGGGAACCAACAAAACCCACAGGCCAATCTTTTTTACAACCAGCGAAACGTGGTCAGGCTACCCCACAACCATGAGAGCCTGCTCCACAAAACGAGCCGGCTTCCCATCCCGCCCATATCAATGCGTATCAAGTGACAATTTCTTTGAATATTCTTTGCAGTTAAGAATGGCTTAAAAGGTTGTATAAATGAAAAATACACAGGTCAAAAGTGTATTGGGTAAAAATGCAACTGGGGAATTTGCATTTCCCAATCGAATTTTTCTTTATTCCCGAGAGCGCCTGCGAAGGGTTCTTCGTAAAGAAACATCTGCAGAACTACACCTCCTCTACATCTTCACATCTTCACCTCTGCACAATCACGTTCTCACCTATATCTCTGCTCATCTTCACGTCTGCACATCTACATCTCTGCTCATCTTCACATCCTCGCATCTGCATCTCAGCTCATCTTCATCTTCACACATCTACATCTCTGCTCATCTTTATCTTCACACATCTACATCTCTGCTCATCTTCACATCTGCACATCTACATCTCTGCTCATCTTCACATCCTCGCATCTACATCTCAGCTCATCTTCATCTTCACACATCTACATCTCTGCTCAAGTTCACATCTGCACATCTACATCTCTGCTCATCTTCACATCCTCACATCTACATCTCACGTCTTCACCTCTCGCTCTTCTTAACTTTCTCTCTTAAGGCCGGGGGCAGTGCCGCCGGACCGCCACGAAACGCAACCTTCTGCGGAGATCGTGCGCGTCGAGTGCGCGAAATGCAAGCGAGAGTGCGATGTGTCCCGGTCCGGAGCAACCAACTGTTCTGTGAAAGAGCATCTTCTATCACATGGGGAACTCCTCGGTGAAGCTGCAGTTACTGCCACGAAAGTGCTGTCAACCCTTGTTGAGGGAGTGGATGCTCTCAATAAGACTCAGGAGGAAACCAATGGGCTTCTTCGAGAACTTGTCGAAGGGCAGAAATTGGCTTTAGAAAAGGCCACCCGCTGCGGAGATCGTGCGTGTCGGATGCGCGAAATGCAGGCGAGAGTGCGATTTGTCCCGGATTGCGGGCAACCCTCTGCGGAGATCGCGCGCGTCGAATGCGCGAAATGCAGGCGAGACTGCGATTCCGGAGCAACCCTGATCGCGCGCGTCGGACGCGCCAAATGCAGGCGAGAGTGCGATTTGTCCCGGTCGCGGGACCCTCTGCGGAGATCGCGCGCGTCGAATGCGCGAAACGCAGGCGAGAGTGCGATTTGGTTTTGTCCGGCGCAACCCTCTGCGGAGATCGCGCGTGTCGACTTTGTAGTACAACTTTAGTGCGCGGAGCAATCTGTGGAGCTGGAAGCTGAGAACTGGCGACTTTGTAGTGCAACTTGAGTGCGCGGAGTACCTGGGGAGCTGGAAGATGAGAACTGGCGACTTTCTGGTACGACTTTAGTACGCGGAGTATCTGGGGAGCTGGAAGATGAGAAGCTGGAAGATGCGAAGCGGCGACTTTGTAGTACAACTTTAGTACGCGGAGCAATCTGTGGAGCGGGTGGGGAGCTGGAAGATGAGAACTGGCGACTTTCTAGTGCAACTTTAGTACGCGGAGTATCTGGGTAGCTGGAAGATGAGAACTGGCGACTTTGTAGTACAACTGTAGTACCCGGAGCAACCTGTGGAGCTGGAAGCTGAGAACTGGCGACTTTGTAGTACAACTTTAGTACGCGGAGTATCTGGCGAGCTGGAAGATGAGAAATGGCGACTTTGTAGTACAACTTTAGTACGTGGAGCAAGCTGTGGAGCTGGAAGCTGAGAACTGGCGACTTTGTAGTACAACTTTAGTACGCGGATGAGTCATCTCTCGCGGCTGCTCTGGCGCCCCTGCAGCTGAGTCATGTCTCCTGACCACCCGGCTCTCTTGAGAGGTTGACAAATTTTGGCTACTTTGCTTACTCATAAGTGGCTGCCACAAAAGAGTCATCGTGACGTTTGTATGTGTGTACTTCACCTTCATGACAAACGATGTTCGCTTGGAATACGCGAGTCGCTTGTCATGATCGTGACGTCGTTTACTCTCAGGTCGCCCTGTTCGTGGAAACTTCAGTGTGAATTGTACGTTCTTCAGTTCTGTTTGAACCTCTTCAGCGTTGTACTTGCACAACTAAGGTTGACGTTGCACTGCCGTTGCATCGACGCATCTACGTCTACACCCCCTCACCTCTCTACATTTACATCTTCACACGCTCACATCCGCAGATCTACCTCTCCACCTCACCACACCCACACATCTGCACATCTATATCACATCTGTACATCCACACTGTCGCTCCTTCACATCTGTCCTGTCTTTCTTTCTTTCTTTCTACATATCTTTTCTCTCGTCTCTGTGCATTTACATCTTCGCACGCTCACATCCACAGGTCTACCTCTCCACCTCTATACATCTACAGATCTATATCGCACCTGCACATCACACTGTCACTCCTTCACATCCACCCTCTCTTTCTCTCTTTCTATACATCTTTTCGACAGTGCTGGACAATTACATGTCTCGCTCTCGGGCCAACCGTCGTCTAGTTTTTCATACTTTTGGTTACTTTAACACCCTCAGCCTGTACCTGGAAGCGGGGAACCAAAGCTCACCGTACATCTCTTCATCCCTTGTTTGCTGTGTATCGTGAAAAATGAAAAAGACCCGACAACCCCACATGTCCAGTTTGAGCAAGAAAGCAAACGGCGAAGGAGTGATAGCAGATGAGAAATGGCAAGATGCGTGAGGATGCGTGCGCGTGGTAGACGAAATGACAATGATGATGGCCAGTGATCATGCTTGCAAGGAATCATTGATATATCTTCATATACGGTCTCCGACAAAGCTAGAGGTCCAAAAATTGCAATTATATGAAAGTATCAAAGTTCCGAACTCAGTGATGAGCCAACAGTTCTATCGCAGAAAGCCATTTCGGAATGGCGACATCAACGTTTTGGTTTGCAAGCACTGGTTTTTGCGTGGGTCGGGCTAATGTGAGTTGAGTTGGGCGAGAAACAATGTGAGTTTAGGTAGTGTGAGTTGAGTTGACTTAATTAAGTTGGTGGAGCGCAGCAAGTCAAAGACCTCCTGCAGAGCCAGAGACAGGGCCAGCGTCTGATTCGATAAACAAGAGGAGGTATGATTCGAGAACCATGAAGCGGCAACCATAACCGCTGACTCGGTACCCGAAACCGCTGGTTCGGTAAACAAAGCTTCAGCAACCAAAAACATTGGGTCGGCAACCAAGGCCCGCTGGTTCGGCAAGCCGATTCGTCAACCAAGAGCGCTAGTTCGGCGCGCTGAAGCTTGGCCAGTCTTTCTCCGGAATCTAAGCGCCGGCAATGACAATCGCCTCAGTGACCTGCAGCTGTCGCTTGTCCAAGCGCTTGTGCCCAATAGCTATGGACACCAAGCCCCAGTTGGCATGGCAGTGCGCAAAGCATACATGCAGAAGACCAAATCCTTTCTGTTCAATAGCTTGTGTTTCTCTCATGTTTTAATCCCGAATACCTATTAAAATCAGAAGCACCACGTCCGAAACCCTAAATTCGGTTTATATGTATTTTTAAATTACCACCCTTTCAAACCGCTACTAAACTACCAACATGGTCGATTTTGGGGGTAGTCGTTTTTTAAAAGTTGTTCCAAAAAAGAAAGTAACTGCCCACCTCTGTCCGCCCTGTCTATCCACCATAACACGCCGCGTTTATACCAGCAGGGTTTCCTTCTCCCAATGGCACGGACTCACGCAAATGCCCTTGCCACTGAGGCCGCGCAAAACTGCATGGCACAGCGACATCACCTTTCGAAAGCTTTATAGTCTATTGAAGAATCCGTATTCTATCTGGAGGTTTTGTGAACTTTTGATACGAATTTAATAAGTGAATTTATATAAAGTTGTCCTGGGTTACTGTTTGGTTTTGAAGCTCTTCCCAGGTTACCCTATTTTGGACCGCCCCGATTTCACTGATTTTAAAAAATGCAGCCAAGTTTTTCTTCATAAGGGGGGACCCCGTGTTTTTTACAGTAATAGGTGGACAGGATTAAAAAGAACCTGGACTGGAACACCTTTGGCACTCTCCTAGCACAGTGATATGCTTTTTTTCGTCTCCGCCGCCTTCTGCACAAAGCTTCCATGTACAGTTGATGGCGTCTGCAAGCTTCTGTGGCGGCTGTTGGCAGCAAGCAAGAGGCAGTGTCCTGGAACTTGTCAGTCAGCTCGTTCTAGCAACTTTTGACCGGTGCGTTGTGGCACATTGGGCATATCTGCTCTTGTTCTTTGCATCTGGCTTGGTGGATCTGCTTCCTGCTGGGCGCAGCTTCGTCAGGGACTTGTCTATACATCAGCTCGGGCTGGGCGGCGAGTGGCGGAAAGTGAGCAACCTGCGCGCTGCGCATAAGCGGTCTCCAGGCAGATGCCACTGGGTCTCTAAAGCATCAGTTGCTCCTTTGTCGGGGTACTGTAAAACAACTTAATGTCTTGTTTTTTGTTGATGGGAATTAGAACGCGACGGCAAAACAGATTTGGGCCCCAATGCACATGGCAGTATATGAGTCTACTCATACGCGCCCTACCTTCTAAAAATCTGTTTTGTCACGCGCGGGCATGTACTTGGACACTTGCTCTGTCAAAAGATGACGCGGCGGGGATCACTTGAAGTACAATAATTTTCTGAAAAGGTCAGCGTCATTTTGTCCATGCCCTTTGTGGGATACTCAGTTCTGTGGAGGTTTCAGTTATCCCAGCAAGAAACCGCGCGAGAACCAAGTGTTGACTACAAAGTAGCTAAGATTTTGCGCGTCCACCTGTCATCGTACCTGGGCCACAGCGCCGGAACGCGCAACAACGGCAAAGGCCTGTCCACCAATCTGTTCAGCGAACTGAGGACGGGGATGTCCTCAGCGTTTGTGTCTGAAAAGTGCCCGGCAACCTCAAAGAAGATTCAAAGCACAATGAAGAAATGTGCACACACAGACTCGAAAAATCTTGACAGCCAAGCGTGTGAGTAATCATTGCAGCTTTGGATGGCGAAAGCAAACAAACACGCACCGGTGAAATGGTCGTTGCAGCCCCCGCGGCCGCGTCAGACGAACTTTCAGCTGGCGCACTTACATCTGGACCCCCTTCACTTCCTGGCCTCGCCTGGTTAAACGGAATACGCGTGTCTTCTTCCAGCCAGGTAAACAAAATACCTTAGAAGATTCCAGTCTCCCCGCTCTCCCTGTAGACAGGAGGACAGTGAAATCTTGCTGCATCTGTCTGTCTCTGCTCCCTCTCGCTCTTTCTAGCTTTCTGGGCTTTTCTCCACCCTAGAAGATTCCAGTCTCCTCCGCCGAATTCCATATCTCTCCCTCTCCCTCTCCCTCTCCCCTCTCTCTCTCTCTCTCTCTTCACCACTCTCCACCTCTCCCTTTCTCTCTCTCCCTCTATCGGGCCACGGGAATCGTCACGCAACAAGCAGCAAGCCACATCAAACATGTTTATCCTGGCCATTTTTTCGCCCTCCCCCAAACACACTCCCCCTGCCTTCCATCCCATTCCAGCCATATGCTGCAAACGTCACTTTTTGCACCCCGTTTTGGCCCTGTTGGTTTCTGAATCGTAGTTGCTGAATCGGCTGCTTTATTTGTATCTTTTTACCTGATCCCTTGAAAAACAGTGGAGGGGAGGCGGCCACCGCGGGGAACCAGCACCAACCTGCAGCAGTTGAGTTGGCTAAGTTGAGTTGGTGTGAGAAGGGTGGCGACGGCGGCGGCGGTGGCAGCAGGAGGAGGAGCCGCGGCGGTTTCACAATACAAATTCGGAGAAAAAAGACACCTAGCATGTGGGGAAAAACTGCTGAACAGCTGCATCGGCAACAATCATAGTCTCACGTCTAATGCTTAATGCCCAGGAATTGTTTCACGTTGGCTGATCCCCCCTTTTCTATAAACATATATGGAACGCAAGGGACTGTGTGTTTCAAAAGCAATGTGATCCACAAAGGTTTGGAGGAACTCTTCTTCAGCCATCACCTACATTCGAGGACCGTTCACAAATACGAGGCAGCATTTGGAATCTCCAACACAAGGTCTTAGTCCCACCCAGAGCCTACACCAGCTCAGATTCCCTAGGAACTAAAATGCATCCACCCACCTACGCCCCCAAGCAGACTAGCCTATGCGGGGGACGCTCGTCTCAACCAACGTCCATTAAAAAATGCATTGCTCAAATAGTAAGGTATAAATAACCTCAGCTCTCCTGTGAAACAGGCAACATTGCCGCGAAGACCCAAGCCGGTAGTTCTGCCAGGTCTGCTTTGACCAGGTAGGCGTGCGCGCCAGCCCAAGCAAACAGCACCAGTACCAAGAGCAAAAGGTCCATGGCAACTCGATTCTGATGAAAAGCATTCGCTGTCGAACGGCTCTGTATCTAAACCATAGGGTTTGTAAGCCTTCAAGAAAGTATTGCGTGTCTTTGGAGGAAAATTGCGCTTGCAAGGAAAACTCCTGGTCATTCCTTGGAGGATTGACCCTGCAAATGCAAGCTTTGCAGGTGCCTGGGCTGTACGAGAATAAAAAGAACAAATAAAAGCACTGCTCTGATCCTTCGCATGCTTTCTTGATGGCTTTGCAACTATCATTTCTATTATATATTTTTATAATATATATATATATTATAGTTCTCCGCTGTTATTTCTGTGGGATTATTTGGGAGGGTTTTGGGGGCGGCTGGCAGGGGCGGTGTCCGTTTCTGTCACGACGCACCGTGAGGAGTAAATGTCTTCCTGAAAGGTTTCAAGGGATGCCCTTTGACTCCTTTTGATACTCTTGGAAGTTTCAGCCGGTTCGGTTTGGAGCGCAAATCAAGCCTGGCAGAAAGTGTTTTCAGGACGGCGTCTCAGCTTTTTCGAAGTGTGTGAAACGCCGCTGATAAAACATGTCAAGTGATCTCCCTCTGCTATGGCGCAGTACCAAGAGCGCGCTGGGTTGGTGCATTGGAATGTGTCAGGCAAAGCTTGTATAATCACAAAGAATGAAAGGGGTGAGGCACTGGCCAAATGTGTATGGCGACTAGGTTTGTTGGACGTTTCGATCTCTTTCAAATCCGCACATTCCTTGATTTCTAAGGCAGGGCCCACAGGACACGTACAGGAAAGTGCACCTTTCAAGATGCATCGTCGCTGGGAAGGAACAACTTGATAGACTTGTTTTGGGTCATGTCTCATTCTGTCGTGAACACTACTTGGTGCGCGCGGCCTTGCCTTTCTGCGTTTTCGAGCTCCAGGAAAGGCTTGAACTCGGGGAATCCTGCAAGGAACTTTCCCGAGCGTTAATCCGAGACTCACGCAGTGCGACAGAGTCTAGTCAGTCACCCATGTTGATCCAACACACTTAGGGATTAAGAAAACAACAGGGCGACGGTGGCGACAGGTTCAAACACATCAGCCGTTCGTCCAATTCCATAGCCCATTTCTGATAGTGTCATCAGCCAATCAACTGCAAGTTCTTAGCACAACTCTCCTGAGATCTTATCACCGCTCTACCCATTCACATCGCGTCCGGGTCCTTTCGATCCGTTGGTCTCCCCAAGCAAGACGCTCCGCGCCAGCGGCAGATCTCCAAAGCCACCCACATAGCCCAAGTTGTCCTGGTGTAGGTTGGAGGCCATCGCTAGAAGGTTGGAGGCCATCGCTACTACGTTGGAGGCCATTGCTAGTAGGTTGGAGGCCATCGCTAGTAGGTTGAGGTTGGAGGCCATAGGTTGGAGGCCATCGCTAGAAGGTTGGAGGCCGTCGCTCGTAGGTTGGAGGCCATCGCTACTAGGTTTCACACCATTGCTAGTAGGTTGGAGGCCATCGCTAGAAGGTTCGCTACTACGTTGGAGGCCATTGCTAGTAGGTTGGAGGCCATCGCCAGTAGGTTTCGCTACTAGGTCTGAGGCCATTGCTATAGTAGGTTGCAGGCCATCGCTAGAAGGTTGGAGGCCATTGCTAGTAGGCTGGAGGCCATCGCTATGGCCATTGCTAGTAGGTTGGAGGCCATCGCTTGAAGGCTGGAGGCCATCGCTAGTAGGTTGGAGGCCATCGTACTAGGAGGCCATCGCTAGAAGGTTGGAGGCCATCGCTACTAGGTTGGAGGCCATTGCTAGTAGGTTGGAGGCCATCGCTAGAAGGCTGGAGGCCATCGCTACCCTGAGCCTCCTAGAACCCTTATTTAGTGGGACCCCTTATTTAAGGAGTCTGACATAGAAAAATTTAAGGAGTCTAGACTGTTAATTTAAGGTGTCTTTTTGAGGTGTCTTATTAAGGTGTCTAGATGTTGTTGTTTTCATAAAATTTTGAAGTGAATCCTTCACAGGGTTCAAAAATCTTTGATGGGATTGAATATTTTTTCGTAGGTTCCAGTAATCCTTGACAGGATTTCCAAAAGGTTTGTGTAAAATCTTAATGCAAAATATCAAGGATTGGGCAACACTGGCCAACACTCCACCTCAAATCCTTGAAAGGATTCCTGGTGTGTCAACTGAGGTGAAAAACTCTCTCCAAAGGATTCCTGAAGTGAATGCACAAATGCCAAACTCTCTCCCCTGAATCTTGAAAGGGTTTGCAAAAAATCCTATCAAAGAGCCTGAAACCCAGGTCGCTGATGTCCTTCAAAGGACAAAGAAAAATTGGATGTGATGTCCTCCAAAGGACAAAGAAAAATTGGATGTGATGTCCTTCAAAGGACAAAGAAAAATTGGATGTGAAGTCCTCCAAAGGACAAAGAAAAATTGGATGTGATGTTTTGCAAAGGACAAAGAAAAATTGGATGTGATGTCCTCCAAAGGACAAAGAAAAATTGGATGTGATGTCCTCCAAAGGGCAATTGTTCTTTTTCTCTCACCATGCACATTACAGGACTGCATTAGAAGTAAGCTTGCATGTAGCCCAAGAAGGCAGGCAGAACAACATGTTCCTTCCAGAAGCATATTGAAGAAGACACGTGCTCTCTGAGCTATATCCAAGTCATGGAATTCTATGGACAAACTCAGGCCCCCCTCCACTCAGGTCATAAATGACTTGAGGCGCTTGCACAAAGCTTTCAGGCCATCCAAGTGCATGGAGCCATTGTTGGTGTCACCCTCCAAGGCCTTCTTCAAAGTGGAGCAGTCTGCCTTGTCGCTGGAGACCGACATATCCTTTCCCTGAGCCAAGTTGGTCCTCAAGGAAGTCAGCACTGCCTCGGCTTTGCCCAGAGCATCTGACACACTCTTCAAAAAACTCTTTGGACTCTGGCTTGCCTCTGGCCTCCAAGTCTTTTTGACAGGCGGCGCATTCAAAGACTTGTTTTTCAAGTCTGCCCTTCGGAGCAGCTGCAATTTGAACTTGTGAGTTCAGCTGCACCCAGTTTGGGTTCTCAAGTTTCACTTTGGTATCACTGCTGGACGCCGAATTGCCAATCGCCTTTTGCATGGTGGCCATGCCAAGGTTGGTGCCCAGCTTCATGGTCTGGTCGACTTTGTTTTTGTCCTCTTGGACATGTTTCTGCTTGCTGTACCAGTACTTGGAAAGCTCAGGCGGAGCATGCGCCTTGGTACACTCATCCGGTTTGTCAATGCCACATTCATCCCAGCACTCCTTGAGAAGAGCTGCCAACATCTTGTCTCTCTTCTTTTCTTCAGTTTGTTCCCAGGAGCAACCATTCAAAGTAAAGATTTGCCCTGGAGTCATCCAACCGCTCTCAGCCACATCCTTCTGCTCAGTGGTGTCAGTCACTGTCTCAAAGTACCCATTGACCCACTGAAGGTTCTTCAAGCCACCCTCAGTCTTGTAGCGCTCAAGCAAATCCTTCTTGTCCTCCATGGTCATCTGGCTGTAGGCCTGGCAGGGGCACTCTGCCATTTGAACCATTTGAAAGGGGTCAGATCTGTGAAAATGGAAAGAATAGATTTGGTTTTGTGAACCCCCACCTCAAGGATCTTACCTGCCTCTGTTTCACCTTTCTTATCCCTTCTGTACTTCAAGCCATTCAGCATCGCATTGGGATCTTTGCGGGTTGAACCTTCTGGTTCTTGATCTTTCTTTGGCTTTGTGGCAGCAGCCTTTTTGACAGCAGGCTTTTTGGGAGCAGCAGCAGCTTTGGCATCAGTCTTTTTGCCCATGGCTGATGGTTGGATTGAAAACACTAGTCAAGTTGTAGCTTGAAACTGAATAAGCTGAAGTTTTGCGCAGGAAGGTGGGCAAAGAATAGCAGAATAGCACTAATGCCACACAATAATAATAACAATGATTCTTTGATAAAAGGTATCATTCCTTCAAAGGATGCCACGCAACAATTGAGAAACTGCACCAACAGTTTTTACATTGGCTGCAAGACATGAACCTAGTGATTTTTGATAAAGTGCACCATTCCTCCAAAGGATCAATCTACTGTTTAGGTCTGATGCCAAGCTCTCAACTCCTGAGCTGAGCCACCTAACCACCAAAGGTGTCTCAGAAAGGGCAAGTCACATCAACAGCCTTTGACATTAACAGAACTGAAAACATGCTTCTTAGAATCTATTGTTTCTTTGCAGATGTGGATTCCTTCAAAGGATCAATCTACATAATCTACTACTTTGGTGTGATGACAAACTCTACCAAATCCTTCAAATGATTGAGCTCTTGGTTTTCATGGTCAGCTTTTTGAACCTTTCAAAGTATCAACACATCTAGTGTTGAAGTGTAATGCAAAGCTATCAACTCCTGATCTGAGCCACCAAACCTTCGAAGGTTGAGAAGAAGGACTGTGACCTCACCAAGTGCAAATCATCTCTACAACTGTGACAGGGATTGACCACATGACTCCCAACATGATGGCATTGACTATATTCCTTTTAGTGTTCCTTTGAGCTATAATTGAAGACATGATGACATGACATCAGTCTTTCCAAAGGTCTTGAAAAACCTGTGGAAATCATGTGAAAAAGTCATTTTCCACAGCCTGTGAAAAAGTTTTAATTAAAAGGAAAAGTACTTTTTCACAGGCTGTGGAAAAATGACTTTTTCACATGATTTTCACAGGCTTTTTCCCGAAAGCATTGCGAAGGGTTCTTCCGGAAAATCCCTTGAACACTGACACTTCGACACTTACACTTACACACTGACACTTCCACCACATTCGCACTACATACACTGACACTTCGACACTGACACTTACACATACACACTGACACTCGGCAAGCACGCAGTGTAAGTAAGCAAGTGATGGGTACGCAGGCATGCAATGAGCATGCAAGCATGCAATGAGTAGGTACGCAAGCATGCAATGAGCATGCAAGCATGCAATGAGTAGGCAAGTGTGAGTATGGAAAACTAGCACGGGAGATGTCCTAATGAAAAAACATTTCCCCGCTCTATAAATTCTCTCTTAAAGGCGGAGGGCGGGACGAACAGCGTCAACCGAAAGTGCAACCCTCTGCGGAGATCGTGCGTGTCGAGTGCGCGAAATGCAGACGAGAAGCTGAGAACTGGCGACTTTGTAGTACAACTTTAGTACGCGGAGGAGCTGGGGAGCTGGAAGCTGAGAACTGGCGCGGTGGTAGTACAACTGTAGTACGCGGAGTAGCTGGGGAGCGGAAGGATGAGAACTGGCGAGTGGGTAGTACAACTTGAGGGCGCGGAGTACCTGGGGAGCTGGAAGATGAGCACTGGCGACTTTGTAGTACAACTGTAGTACGCGGAGTAGCTGGGGAGCTGGAAGCTGAGAACTGGTGACTTTGTAGTACAACTTTAGTACGCGGAGCAATCTGTGGAGCTGGAAGCTGAGAACTGGCGACTGTGTAGTACAACTTTAGTACGCGGAGGAGCTGTGGAGCTGGAAGATGAGAAGTGGCGACTGGGTAGTACAACTTTAGTACGCAGAGTAGCTGGGGAGTGGGAATATGAGAACTGGTGAGTGGGTAGTAGCTGCGAACTGGCGACTTTGCAGTACAACTGTAGTGCGCGGAGTAGCTGGAGCTGGAAGATGAGAACT